GCGGTGTCACACAGCTGAGGCAGGGTGAGGAAGAGCCTCTACAAGGGGACGTGACCTCTGCCATTGCACGGCAAACCCCGGCATGGAGCAAGGCCGCCTCGGCAGAGGAGGTGCCGAGGGAGAGCGCGACTCGTTACAATCGCACCCCTACGACGCCCGTTCTCGCCAGCAGATCCCCGAGATCACCACCCGCCTGTGGATCCCGCAGGCGTCAACACACCCCGCCCACCGAGCCACCCTGACCGAGCTGCCACGCGCGCGCCCGCTGCAAGACACCGCGCTCGCAGGGGCAAAACCGCAGCAAAGCGAAGCCGAGAGAGAACAGAACGGCAAAAATAAAAGCAGATGCCAAGATTTGAACAGTTTGCAGAGCTCTGTGGCACGAACCCGCCGAGAGCACTTCCCTACGCGATGGTCTTGCTAGGAGCAGGACAGAGGCAGCAGAGACTGAGGCCCGGGCAGTTTACGGGCGCGGAAATCCCCGACACCTCACCTGTGTGAGGAAAGGCGACTGTTGGCACAGCCCTGCGCTACAGCCCTTCTCTTCAACAACGGGATCAGGAACAGCAAGCAAGCTTTCAGTCTGCGGTCCCACCTGACAGGAGCGGCAGTCAGCATGAGCAGCAGCGTGGGGCAGGGAAAAAAAGGAAAAAAGAAGTAACTGCAATTCTTTTATTAGCAAATGGACAGTATCTGGACACCTAAAGGAAATCAGCCCTTTCCAACGTTAACTCACGTGTTATTGTCAATTACTTGCACCACTCCCACACCTGAGTCTTTGTCTTTCATAACAGCCGGAGCCTTTGGGTAAACAAAGAGCAGAGAAACACAAAAATACAATATATACGGGCTTCCCGCCAACGAAAGGGGCTTGGATTTTTGTTGGAGACCCGCGACGCTTTGTTCATTGGACTTTGCAAGTGACATCAAAACACCTCAAGTTTTAAAATAAAAAAAAATACTGCAATATTCCCATATAAAACTTAAATACACTTGTATAAAAATGAAAGGACTGCTGACAGCTACTCTCACAGCTGTCTCTTTCAACAGAAGCTCTGCTGATGAAGCACTGAGAATTTAAGGTTCCCAAAGCGACATTCACATTCCACACGGCTCCTGGTCAGTCCACGAGACAGCGCCACTGGAGACTCACCCAGTTCAACTCAAATACATCCCCCAGGTGGGGGACGGCAAGGTCACCCAACCAGGCAAACGCCTGGGTGCAGCGGGGCTGCCCGCTTCCCGAAACACAGGGCACACACATCTCAGCTAGTCTGCATTCCCAGCTCCAGCTCTTCAGTTCATGGCTGGGTAAAGGGAGCGGAAGACGAAGTGGTGCTCTTCCTCTCCTCCGCTATTCCGCCCCTTCTAATGTTCTCCGGGGCTCTATTAAAGCCACTGAATAAGGTGACTGGAGAGCAAAAGCTCATGGCCCGTCTCCTCTCTGGTGTGACTCGACGGAGTGCAACGGAACCGCACCGGGGACTCTGCCCCCCCGTGCTGAGTGTGCAAGCTTTACACAAACAGGGCAGACAAGGGAGCAAGGATCTACAAAGGAGAAACTCAATCCATCCTTACGCAATCTCGTCCACGACGAGAGAGATCATTAAGTGTGCTTGACAGGCAAGGAAATCAGATTTTGCCTAGGAAATCTGGATTCTGTGACAGAACCCAGGTTTGGTTGTTTTCACTTCATTCCGAGGAAGCAGAAACTAGGACAAACAACAGCTACAGTATTTATCTCTTTGGTTACTTCTGTAAAAGAGACTCTTACAGTAATCACCATCAAAGCCCAGTAAGATCCTGTACAAGTTTCACAGATTGCAAGAACGGCGGCACGAACAGGGAACACAGCTTGCCCAAAATTAAATGGGGCCCATGGGAGGGTGAGAAAAGACTGCACAGGAACTGGATGCCCCAGACTCCTGCTCTAGCCACACAACAGTGCCTCACCGAAAGCCGAGCCCAGACGCACAAGGTAACCTCTTGTTACAAACAAGTCTGGGGTGCGCTGTGGGGTGTTTCTTTAAGGCAAAAATGGGTGCATACGAGCTGAGCAGACAGGCAGGCCTGGTCAACAGTCCGACAGGGGACCAAGAAGCTGCAGGACACTTTCACAGTCAAAGTGGCTCCATGGGTCAGATTAAAGAGGATTTGGATCCCATCACACACTACTTCAAATCCGGCTCAGGTAAGCTGTGCCTTTCTGCGACAGAAAACTACCTGTTGTGTAAAATGCCTTTGCTTTAGTTGCTTAGAATTAAAGTTTCACATTCAAAGTTCGTTTCCATAACCAGCTCTCCCCTCATATTGCATAAAGACTCAGCTGATACAGCAGGGGCTGAAGAGGCAGCAGAGAACCCAAGCGCTCCTTCCAGCTGGAGACAGGGCTCCTCAGAACAGGCTGCAGACAGTCTTGAGGCAGAACAAGACTTGCATTACCACGTTTCGTATTCTACCTGTTCTTTGTCTTGAGTAACAGCGTAACTTGGTGACCCAGTCTGCATGCAGACCAGCAAAACAATGAACAGGAAGGCCTGTACGCCTCTGAAATTTCCAACAACGTGGTAAAACGAGCACTGAACAAGAGGTTCGTCCAGTGCTGCCGTGAAGCACCGTTTCAGGGTTGAAATCTCACGTACCTGTCTGAACACCTAACTACGCAGCGGCAGAAAACTGCACTTCAAAAGGTACCCGCTGCCGAGCCACCCACACACAGCTGTCACTAAAGCAGCTCGCAGGGAGCGTATGAGAAATGTGTATCTTCCTTAAAATTCTGGAATGACAACCAACTAGCGTCACATAGTCTCCCCAGATGAAAGACTGTCGATAGCTGCTAATTGAAGGCTGCGGTAATCTTGGAGTCCACCACAAAAGGATTACGCAACTGAAGCCTGCAAAGGAATGGGAGAAGAATAAGCTTTCTTCCAAACCAGTGATGGTTTCTTCCACTCTAAGTAGTGAGTTTTTGGAAGTGCATCTCAAATAACTGTCAGTCCACAGATCCAACTCCAGAAAGTAAAAAGGCAGGAATTAACGAATCTCTAAGAAATAACGTGAAAACAACCATTCCTGCCTCAGTTTTGTGTACTGCAGACCATAGGCTGGTTTATATAATGATTCCGTTACTGCTTGCTGCTCTGTAAAGGGTTAAATGCTGATCTTACTGCATCCTTTCAGCTGACATAAATAGACTCCCAGGCAAAAGGGCCACTGGGAAACACATATGCTGTGCTGTGACAACATGCCTCCAACTCGGAGGATGGCTTGAGGTCAGCTTTCACTTCCTCAGCCTTCTGCTTCTCCTGCTTTCTTCTCACCGCTGATAAAACTGGTTCAAGGACACTTGAGACTTGTAGTAGAAAAGGTTTTTCTCCTTGCATCAAAACCCAAAAGGTTTAATATTTACTATGACCATGCAAAAGTAGAATCTGAATGTGAACTGGAAGTTGGTGTTATTCGAGTACCATTACTGGAGAGCTGAGACGATAAACCAGTCCAGATTTCCCGCTTAAGGGCACGTCTCCATTTTGCCAGCAGCTGCAACAAAGAGCATGTCGTTTATCATGCTTGAAAGCTGCACAAATACCCATCAGGGAAGAGAGAGTACTCTCCTCCAAATTACACTTTTTGGTTGGAGAAAGAGAGATTTGTTAACAGTTTTCTGGCTCCACCAAGAACCATTACTCCCTGCTTTACCTTTAGGAACAAGGAGGCAAGCTGAAATTTTACCTGGAGAACAACTATTAACATGTTGAAGTCTCACCTAACAACTGAATTCTCTTCAAAAAACTCATCCCCACTCAGCTATAGCACGAGAGAGTTCATTGTTTTGGGATTGTTTTCCTGAAGTGACACAAGAAAAAGCTGCCCCTAGATGTCATTTCAAGTCATCATCTTCATCCCCACCCGAGGGGTCTGGGGACAAGGGAAGACACCAAAACCAGCCTGATAATAATACTCAGCCTTTTGGGCTCTTCGGAGTGCTTCGCAAAGGAAAAGCCTCACCACATCCCTGCGAGGTAGGTCTGTAAGTATTATTATATTCCCTTACTACAGATCCGGAAACGGAGGCAGCAAAGTTACTTTCCTGAAGGCCACTGCAGAGGTGTCTCGGAGATGGAACCAGCAGACAAGATTCCTTAGCTCTCAGAGAATTTCCCTTTCTCTACAGTATCTCCCCTCTTCCCCATACACGAGTTTTAATGGAGAAATGAGCGACGGAGAAAGGGGCTACAGTGCCACGTTTCTGACAAACAGCATGACTCCTAGTACTACTCCACGTACTCCAAAAAGGATTATTAAATACACAAGTACCTTAGAATTAATGGCAAAATGCCTGCACACATTATAAAGAAGCCAACATACAATACAAACCTAGCTCAATAAATAAGTAAAGACATGCAGCTGCAGTTGTGACTGAGCGCTCAGGGGTCCCCTCAGCTCAGTATGGTCCCAGAAACCAACGGGTTATCCCACGTCATTCCTGCGACTCCACCGCCACGCCAACGAGCGCGTGTCTGATCGTGCGGCCGTGGAGTTTATAGCCATCCTGAGTCACCAGTGCTATCGTGCCCGGCTGCAGCCCCTCGGCTGGTACATGGCAGACTATTTCATGGTCATACGGATCGTATTTGCCACCAACGGGGTTCATCTTCTGAAGGCCGTGTTTGGCAAACACACTTTGCAATTTGGCCTCTAAGAGAGAGAGGCCTTCATAGATCTTCTTCAGGGTTGGATTTGGATTACTAGGCTCCGTTTCTTCTGCAGCACTCTCGGCAGTCTTCTCCAAGATATCTGCTACCTCCACAAGGTCCCTGCAGAAACTCTGGATCCCTAGGGGCACACAGAAGCAACAAGTAAATGAAGGGCAGTTTACAGAACATACAGAGCTGCAGTATCAGTGACAGGCACAAAGTCACAGCAGTTTGAAAGCACCTTCAAAGCTGCTAATAGATTTGAACTCTTACTGTAGTGAGAGCAGACAGTGTCCTCTGCATCCTGCAGCCAAAGCTTTAGCATTACATGGGTGGTAATCTAAAGACTCCCCAAATCAAGGCACACGGGGGGAAGGTGCATCTATACACATTAACATAAATCTGTATATGGTATACCTGACAAAGCTGAGCATTAGTATTTCACTCCAAGAAGTTCTTGCAACAAAGACTTGCCATGCAGGACACTTCCACACCCCCTCATACAGTCCCACAGACGTAAGGACACTTCCACACCCCCTCTGTCCCACAGACAGAGCCAAGCAGCTCACACAAACGCATGTGCACACGGGGAACAAACACAATGGGGGAAGCGAAAATTAAATGTGCCCATTCAGAAGAACATCTGGAGTTTTATCTGTAAGTTAAAACTACGGTGAAAGGACTGGACAAAACGGTCCGTGGGCTGGTCATGCAGTCTTTTTCATTTAGAAAAATGGGTTTAACTTGTATGCGTTTCCAGAAGTGCTGTATTACACTGTGCAGAAATTTCAGGAAAACCGGCTTGTGCTAGACAGATGCCATAACTAACTTACTGGAAAGACACATTAGGAAAAGAGAGAAAGAGAAACAATGGTTTGGTGCAGTTGTGCACACATGTTTAAACATGCACAGAATGAAAAAGCATGAAGGAGAAGCAACAACAGAACAGACAAAAGCAGACCGATTGCCAACCATTTCCTCTTGCACCAGAGGAAACGCTCTACAGACCCCTGTGCCTCACTCCACAAGCAACTGCGAATAAAACCCCCTCATTTCTCTTCAAATCCGAAGCATAACGTATCTGGAATTCAAAGAGCTAGGAAAAAACCCCAACCACCTCAAAACCAACCATGCTGGGTATCCCAGAACTCAACAGCCATTTTACCAATGGGTAGAATGGTAAGAAAAATACAGCAGTTTTAACTACAAAGCTACTGGAATTAACTCACAAACAGTGCCCTCCCCCACGATTCATGCATTATGGAGAATAACAGCTTCTCATTCTCGGAGACAGTGCTGCCAGAGCGCAAGGATTAAATGGAGTTTTCTTCCCCCTTCACCTGCCTCTGTTGCCAAAGCTAACAATACAGCTCACTTCACTGATGCTAAAATATTTCTTACAGAAGTTTTAAACAACATCTGATATAGGAATTGACAACCTTTGATCCTCTTAGGATCCTTTTAGGATCTACCTAGAAGAGGTAGATCTCTAGAGCAGGAGAGAAGAGGCTGCTAACGTAGTAAAGGAGGTCACAACCTGACGACGCAGCTGAGAGTATGAAATACACCCTGCCAGAGCCAATTCTTGGCGTACAGAAGAGCCTGTAATTTCAACCAAGTCAGCAGAACCACTCTCAACTGCACTGGACCTATTTTAATTAATATAAATTAAAAAACAACAAAACCCCACAAAACAGTCACTGAGGTAAACCTGACAGGACACAGCTGGACATACAGAAAAAATAGCAGGCCCAGACACTAAGAGTCCAGGCCAAGCAACACACCGGACTCCACAACGAACAAGTGCAGGATGTGGGGAGAGAAAAGCTGTTGATCAGCATTTTACGCAGACAAGCCACTGCAGCAAACACAGCTCTGCCTCACTTTGCTTACCAAAGAGCTTGGCATCTTCCACAAACTTCTGCGTTCTCCTCCGGACATTCTCGGAATCTGCCAAGGCTTTCCGGTATCGCTCCTGTAATCACAACAGCAAGAGAAGATTCAAACCAGGAGGTAAAACCCATTTCCTGACAGTTACTGACCCCTTAGAAACGCTTTAAAAAGAGCCCAGTTCACGGTCGGAAGGTTGTGCTGGGGTCTTGCATTTTCACTCCGTGCAAACCCAAGTCCCTCTCCTATTGATTAAGCAGCACATCTGCAACTCCCTCCAAAGACCCAAGCGAAGGCCAGAGCATTCAGCGTGCAGCTCAATCTAACACCGCACTGTCAGGCTGCTGCTTTCTGCATGACTCACTGCGGCTACCAGACACTCCTTTCTCTAGCAGGCAAACTGGCCGTCTCTACAACAGACCTGCACACAACGGATTTATCGCTTGGTGCAGCAGTATTCTCGGGGCGATTATCTCCAGAACTGCTTGGTAGTGCAGTATTTAATCCTCCTCTTCTTGTTCTTCAAAGTCCCTATAACATGATCCCTACCATTTCCACCACATCACTGTCAATGAAGAGGACTTTCCCTCTCTGACACAGTATGTGGTGCTAATCAGGACAAAGCCACTGCCATTCCCTCTGTGCAGTGCTGTGAAACAATCTCCAACATAGTTTTGCCTGCCAGGATAACTACCACTGCCTTGCTCCTAGGTACTACTGACAGATGGTGTTTCTGGGGAAGGCAGGCTGTACTTTCACAGGACACCCTCTCACACTTAGAGCACACTGATGTGTGCGTGTTATACAGCTGACAGAAGCAGCTAGGGCTGAAAGAGAAGACCTAGTCAAGGGGATTGAATGAAAGACATCATGATGCCACTACCAGCATACTCACAGTTAAATCCCGGACTTGTTCTTCCAATTTGATAGCTTTGTGCTCTAGGGCACAGTCAGAAAGAGGATGCTTGGGTTCATCACGGGGATCTTCTGGGCCACATTCATCTCCTGTACTTCTCTGCTGAGCAGCAGTGCTGAACACACAGGGGGACACCCTGAAATACAAACTAGTGACAAAGAAAGAAAGTTAAGCAAGAACAGGGTGAAAAAGAATTCTAGTTTAGTGTCCATACTAAAAGCAGACTCTCTTAAAAAAGGTATATAGGATTCCAGATAAAACGCTAGCTCTTTTCTGAAAATATGGACAACTAGTACAGAAACACAAAGAGACAGATTTCTTTTGTTTTAGACTCACATGTCACTACAGAGGCTGTACACCATTTCTTTGACACATCCTGAAAGACTCACATTTTCACTGGAGAACAAGTTGTAGGTTGTATTTTCGCTGCCCTCCCAGTAACAGGTGGTCAACACCGGATGACAAACTTCAGAAACAATTTTGCAAGGTGGTCTTGAAAGGGAGGCAGGCAGTACAAAGCTGTTTTTACAGTTATTAAAAAAAAAAACCAAACCCAAATGTTCTGAGCAAAATTCAGTAAGATCTGCAAACCCATGGCATTTAATAATGTAAGCAGGCAGAGCAGAGCCTGCTACCTGAGACGGTACGGTGAGCGCAAAAGGGCAAGTCGCACCAGTGGCGACTGTGGAACAGTAGGACTGTGGAGTAGCTCAACAAGCAAGGAAAGATGTACACGTCTCAACCTGCTGGCTGACGGAGCATGCAATTCTGAGGTGCTTTGACCCGTTTCTCTGCCTGGGCGCAAACAGACACAGTATTTGGTACAGTCAGTTTTCCTCCTTTTGAGTGAAAAGGAGGGGAGGTTGAACCTTGTGCCAATCAGTTGTTCTGACAAAGTAGCAGCGGCTAGACTGGACCCAGCTTTCCTGTCCGCCGCACAAAGAGCAGCTAAGAAACCAAAGAGAACTGTTGGAGACATGACCAAGTACTGTGCAGCCCAGATATTCCGAGGCCTTCCGACAGAACCTTCACGGCACTGTTAGCTGTGTCTGGAAAAGGGACTGAACATGCCAACTGCAAACTGTCCGTAATATTCTCCAACAGTTCTAGCACTTCAGCTATTTTTATCCCTACTGGCAATGAAAGAGTCCCAAAGGGGAAAAAAAAACCCAAACAAACCAAATCCAAGCCTCAAGCGCTGAAGCCTACCTTATTTCCAATGACTTCTTCATCCTAAGTATGCTTTTCAACTAAAAAGCACACTTGCCGGTGGCTCGCGTGGGTCCAACTGGTGGAGCTCATGCAGGAGGCTGACCCCACAACTTGCAGATGAAATGATGAAACAACTGAAGAGTCAGGTAATTGGATTGAGCTGTAGGAACACCGCCTTGGTGCTCAGCAGCCTATTCTATACTGTACCAATCTCACACATTCCCCAAAAACTAGATAATAGAAGTCTGGCTGAAAACCATTTGGTCAAAAGATGATCAAAACCAGCATGCTCGACACTTTGAAAAGTAACAAAAATATTTTTTACTTCATTCTATTCTCTTCCAGGAAGCCCTTTGCCTGCAGTAACAATGCTGTCACTCTAAGAGCAAACCCAAGTGTTTTCACTCCCCTCCCTACCCCACCTGGTTTTACAAACAGACCTACATAGGACCCATTCCTTCCAGCATGAGGCCTCAGCCCACCTCCCTCTCACACCTTACACCCAGAACAGTCTACAGAACTTCCAAACCAGCTCCATTCAGGAAATGGTTTAGTATGTGCTTAACAAGGAAGGATGTCTTGTCTTGAGAACACCTAGGGTCTTCTGCTGGGCCAGGCTATCAACATCCCCTTTAACAGAGGGGTTTTGCATATACTAAGTGCACATGGCACAGAAACCACTGCACTGGCACCGACTCGAACTCCTGTGCCTATACAGCACCCCTCAGCACTGCACACAGATGCTGATTTAATCCCAGAATCAATGCAGCGAGTTCGCCTTCCCAGGCCTGCACCATGAAGCTTTCCTACTTTTCAGCCAGGCTATATTGCTCAGGTACAACGTCGAAGAAGTGCATGGCTTTTGGTTCTGGGTCTATCAAATCGGTCATGAGACCTAAGTGCTGTTCAGCAACCCAGCTAAGCTGAGCTTACAGCAGCAACTGGAAGGGATGGGTTTGCTCCCCTCATTCCAGCACCGCCAACCGTGCAGAATGAGGGTTCAGGGAGTTAAAACCAGCCAAAAATTAACCCTGCAAAACTGATTTTTTTTTTTTTTCTGTGTCCCTGAATCGGTTTGGTGACAGATCAGACGAGCACGAGTGCTAGTACAAAAGAGAAGACAAACAGGTGAAGCCTGGTGAGATGTGGGAAGAAGAATACCAGGAAGGGGTGTCCCTCTCTGGGTGGCAGCCAGGGCTTTGACCGGTTCAGCTCTAAGACCAAAGCACAGTTTAAGAGATTTGTATCTGCCCAAGGACCACCAAACATCTCCTACTACTCCCTGCTTAGCAGCCCAAATGTTTCCTCATTTTATCTTTAAGACAAGGTTGCTACATGTCTCACAACACTAAGGACAAACTTCCTTTTCCACCTGAAGACACCATCTAAATGGTTTCATTAAGTGGGTACTTAAAACATAATATATGTCAAACTGCTGCTTTTCAATCATTACACAAAAATACAAGTCTGAAAGAGCTTTTGCTACATACTCTTGCCCTGCAGAAGGACTTTCCGCACTAATCTCTGAAGAACCAGGCAAGGGGCTGTCACTGGGCTCTTCAAAAAGCAGCCCAGCCACTGCAGTTCTGGGTTCCAGGGATACCACCACAGAAGACCCCCCAACATTTTAAACCTGGCTGCAGAGAGATCTGTTTGGGGCACGAGACCCCACTTTCCATGATTTCGAAGATGCTTGTCACATTCATGTTATTGATTGATTTTCACAGCACTTTCCAAAGTTATAGAAAGTTGAGGGAACCGGAGGTGAAGACAGAGAAGGACCCCCTTCACCGAACCTTCAAAATCACTCCATGAAGCTTTTAACGACTGCAAAGCTTTCTTTGTAAGAGGCGTGTCTGTGGTGAGCACCAACTACAAGCTTTGTCCTTTATTATCTCACATTCATAGAATCATAGAATCACAGAATGGTTTGGGTTGGAAGGGACCTTAAAGACCATCCAGTTCCAACCCCCCTGCCATGGGCAGGGACACCTTCCACTAGACCAGGTTGCTCAAAGCCTCATCCAGCCTGGCCTTGAACACTTCCAGGGATGGGGCATCCACAGCTTCTCTGGGCAACCTGTCCCAATGCTACCCACCCTCTCCGGGAAGAATTCCTTCCTGATATCTAATCTAAACCTCCCCACTTTCAATTTAAACCCGCTACCCCTTGTCCTGTCACTGCAGGCCCTTGTAAAAAGTCCCCTCACAGCTTCCTGTAGGAATTTGGGGCCTACATTTGGGGCCTAGCATTTGAAGAGCTGCAGGGATATGGAATTTAGCCATGCTACACATGAACCAAAGAACCTGAAATGCAACTGGGAGAGCAGCCTGGCTGGGTACCTCACAGGTTAGACTCCTGTATCTTAAAAAAGTATAGTATCTTAAAAAAGCTATACAAATGAGTTAACTCCTTCGTATCCAGGCAGCAAAGGTTAGTGAGTCACTTCCCTCTGCAAGTGATTTACACTGCACAAATGGGTGTGTTTTGGTGTGTGGGAGGAGAGGGGCATGACCGAGCTGGAGCCTCAGCTCCAGGGACCTGCCTACGTGAAGCAGAGAGCTGCCTGCATGGACTCTTTTCTCCAGCTTGTGAAACAAGTCGCAGAACACTCCCCCATGCAGCGAAATGCCCTGGGTACCACGTGCTGGTCACACAAGTCTGCCTTAAAAGTTGCAGACAAGAAACAAGACCCACAGACTGACTCCAAAGGGAATTCTTAAGAAGCATAGAACAATGCAGAATTGAAAATGCCGCTCAATTTACTTCTCCCTCCAGGGTGAAAGAAATACTCCACTACAAAGGGCAAGTGCTATTTATAGTCTGTCCACTCCCCTGTGCTCCATCTTTCTAAACACAGTTGTGATCACAGCTGCCCTAAAAATAGGCAGAAATCCCACTGGAGGAAGTTAACACATCCTGAAGCGAGAGGCACGTGGAAGTCCCAAAACGTGTGAAGGGATTATACCCACTAAGATGGTGATACAAAAAGATTTACAAACTAATGTCACAGTAAACCAAACAGACAGATGCAGCGGAGACGTTGATTGCAACCATATGGTTTAAGTCCGTTGTCCTTAAAGATTAGAATTTAAATGATGAGAACATGTCTATGTGGTCAGAACAATCCTATCGCCTCTTTCTGGAGCACAGGCATGATACCCGACCACCCCAAACTGACTGTAACGTTCCCTCTGAACACAGAGGTCCCGCTACATCCCTCCTCCTCCCAAACCAGCATGACAAAGCCCATAAATGCCAAGACAGAAATATCTGCATTAGCATTTTAGCTCTGATGAGTGTGCTTTGGAAGGAAATCTCCTAATTACCCCCAATTACCACACTCTCTTTCATCAGGGAGTGATACCAGAGATTAATACTAGGTGGATTCCTCCTGGAGGAAGCTGGAGAACCAGCTTGTGCAGCACACCTTAACACAGGAGGGCTGTAAACGCTCAGTAGGCTCCCAGGCTACAGCCAGTCCGGGGTGAGCAGTCCCCAGGAAGCGTACCGCAGGGGTGCCTGGGCCCCAGCACCCACCCCGGCTGCACAGAGCCGCTCCTGTTGGCTGCGACGCAGGCGTGACCACAGAGAACTGGCATACAAAGAGGAGTTTCACAGCGATGGTAGGTCCTGGCGAACCTCCACGAAGGACGCCTGCTCAGCTCCCATCAGTCACCTGTTTCATACCTGGTGCGCATTCTGAGAGGGGCAAAGCAGTTTTTACACGTGTGAGAGCACATGGCAGTGGAAGGACTTTCAGACACGCACCTTTACATTTAGTCCCAAACACAGTTGCTTCTATTATGGGCTTCAGGATTATTCAATTGTATTTAAGTGGTCTTTTCAGCTTTATTTGTCCCAGGGAAAAAAACCTCTAGAATTAACTAACATGCATTTTGACTTTTTATTTCACCTGGCCACAAATACAGGTTGCTTTTATTACATGCTGCAGAATTATTTTATTGCATTTAAGTGGTCTTTAGGGTTTGTTTTTTTTTTTTTTCCCAGAGAAAAATCTTGGATAAACTAGCATACACTGACTTTTTGTTCTTCTTTTCACCTGCCCACATTTTACTTGAATAACCAAAGCACTTGTTATGGATTTCACTTTCATAAGCCACATTCCAGAGTATCCAAAAATATGACGAGACGCTGGTTTTCTAAGTATTGACACAATTACACCGACCCTCGACCATCCAAAACAGTCTGAAAGTACAGGTGCTGCATCATCCCCCAAAATAAAACCCAAGGAGTACATGAAACATATAGTTTGTGAATAAATGGCTCAGATGGGCAAGAGGAGACGCAGAGATCACCCGTGGATACACGTAACGGCAGGAAACAACATCACAACGTGACTTACTGACCAAAGAAAGGCTTCTCCCTAAAAATGAAGAGGAATTTTTCCTCAAAATGTCACTTTTTCAGGAAAGAGCTTGCTAATTCAGAGCCTATTTTTGTTCCAGGCCTTCCGAGAAGCTAAGGGCAGGCAGCGTGCCCCTCGTGAGGGGTAACGCGGAGCTCTTCGGGGCAGGCGGATGGCACCCGTCCAGCGGAGCCCCGCGCCGGCCCACACCCACGCAGGCGCCGCGAC